TTAAAGCAAACCAAAAGATGAATCCACATTAAGAGGGAGAAAAGGGACAAAGCAGTTCTAGTAACAAATTGTGCAAGAAATCAAAGACCTTTTAACTTTAAATCAATTTCATGCGGACTAATTTCTTTCATGAATGAGATGGTGTGGTGGCTTGAGGGCAAATAACCAGTGCAGATGTCCAATTGAAAGAGGGGTTTATTGACAGAATTCATTTGTACACTGAACACAAACGAGGGGTACACAACCTCTGCATAATAGAAAAATTAAATAACGAAAGAAATACAGTAGTCAACTTGGAAACAATTGATAAACTAGACAATGAGCTCAACATTCCATTTAGAAGAATAAAAATACAGAAACATCACAGGAACAATAATAAGTTTTAAACTATACAAACAATAAATAACCTGAGGAACACAAAGTGCAATAGCTTAAAGAAAAGGTCAAAATTAAAAAAATACATTCTCCCTAACATGAACACTCACAGGTTGTCATGCAACCACAGATTATGGGCATGATCTATTAGCAATTGCTGCATTGCATCAGCCTGTGCAATGAGTGGTAAACCAAGAAAGTCAGGTTCAGCAACATCATTACCTAGCTCCTCAAAAATAGGTGGGGGATTGTGCACTCTCCTAGCAACAAGAAAATTGTGTAACACAACACATGCATTAGCAATTTGCCCTGCCTTTCCAGGTGTATAGTGAAGGGTTCGATCAGTAAGAAGACAGCGGAACCTATTCTTCAGGACACCGATGCACCTCTCCACTACATTGCGACACTTCATATGAAGTTTGTTATACGAATACTCTGGAGTGCCATAAGGAGCTTGCTCAAGAGGAGTCATCATCCACGGCTCATGAGGAAATGCAGAGTCTCCTGTAAACAAATATAATTGGTGAGCGCGATAGGGAAACAGTAAGCAAGAAATAGATAAGACCTCAGCAAGACTTACCTAGTGAAATACAATTGTTCTCCCAGTATGCAACTTGGAGTGCATCGCGTAAAGGTGAATTCCTATAAATATAGGGATCTGTGGAAGAGCCAGGAAACCTGGCATTGCAATACATGATTTCCAAACTGGAATTGCAAAACTGGAATGAAATAGTAGGCTATGGTAACACCCGTAAATGGCAACAATACACGAGCAAATCTGAGAGGTGCCTTACAATAAGAACATTAATAGCTGGATAGCCTTTACGGCACCGATAGTGCTGGTTGGGCCGAGGTGGTGGGACTATTTTCACCAAGGTGCCATCCACATAACCTAAAGTTTTAGGCATGCCCAACAAAGCGTTCCTAAACAAAGAAATCACAAATTAAACCACAATGAAATGTCAGCAATAGAGCACTGTATACCTGTCAATCACAATATTCCGCTCCTCAATGGTATCAGGAAGGTGAATGAATCTGGTGAGAATGTCAGCATGATTGAGGGCATTAGTTATTTCTTTTACGCACTTACTGACAGTGCCTTGAGCAATATTGTGGTTCACACCCTCACCAACTGGTCTTTGGTAGCTCCCAGAAGCGTAAAATGCAACAGAGCAAAAAACCTAAGACAGAAAAATAATTGTCAAAACCCTCTCCGCCAAAGAACATGAAATGCTATAAACAGCAAAAGGTAACTTACTTTCATGTAGAAAGGAACGCTCAGGCGAGAGACCCTTTGCCTGACATACGGTTCGAGGATGTTAATAAGTTCAACCATAATGTGTTGAGGCATCCTGTAGAGCGCGTTAAACTCGACAACGGTGATGTCAAATGGATTAGAATAATCCCTTAACCGCCGACGTTTTCTAATCATGACCAGTATCCTCCTCCTGTGTTCCTGGATGGGGTCATCCAGCTGGTTGACATGGTACTGTTGATTTTCTAGAGGAATGAACGGAAGACAAACAAATAATGTCAAACGTTGCGAGTAAAAATTCTTGTGAGTCCTGAGTGAAAGGTGCAATCACTTACCCATGTCTAGAAATTAAACAAGTAAGGCGCGAGACCGCCATCTTTGTTGTTTATATTTCATTTCATCCAGTGATGGTTCAATTTGGCAACAACGGAATGAGCGAGACTATCGGACCCCCCCGTCGAGCCCGTTCGAGCCATCGAAACCACGCGAAACGGAGGAAACGGAGCGCCTGTTAGCCTCGGCTAAACCAGCGCTTTGACCTGGCTAGCACCGAAACGGAATAGCCCTGCTGTTCAACAAGGTGGTGCAGATTGTGGCATCACATTTAGAGTTGACGCAGAAGGTGGTCGTGCGGTTGGGCGGGTTCCACTCCCTCATGAGCTTCATAGGCGCGATCGGATACGCCAAGTCGAGCAGCGGGATTGACGACTTGTGGGATGATGTCCGGCAAAGATTTTGCCCGGGCCGTGGGCGCGCTGCTCCAGCCTAGGGCAACAACGAGAAGACCGAGCTGTGCGCTCTCC